AGAGGTTGGGGGAGATCAGCTTTGTAAAAGTAATGCTATAAAAACAATACAGCTTCATTGACAATTTAAATATGTGAAACTAAAAAAAAATGCCTACAACAATCTAATTAGATTTGAAGCACTCTTGATGGAAATATTATGGCATGATTAAAAACCCACTCAATACAAACCTGATGATATATATTACCACAAAATTTTGGCATTTCCCAAAATATATTATGCAGATTAAAACTATGTAGAGTGACTTTAAATTGTAGAAACGTTTTGAATTTATTAAAAAACTGAGCAAATAGTGAGTTTCCCTTTCAACCCTTTCCCCATGAACAGCTTCCTCTATTATTAACAACTTGCCGTTACTGTGGTAAATTTGTTATAATTGGTGAACCATTACTGACAGATTTTTATTAACTAAAGTCACTCGGAAATCATGGTTCAACACTTGTCAAATCTAGGGGTTTGGAAAGTGCATAAAGTCACGTATCCACCATTACAAAAACCACGTAACAAAAGAGAGTATTTTCATTGCACTAGAACATTTCCGACAGTACCTATTCACCCCTTCTCTTCTCCTTCTGGGAAATCACTGTGTTTTCATTCTTTCTACTCTTATTTGTAACCAGATTGTCCTGTGCTCAGGATCGTACATGTAGCCTTTCAAGCTGCTTTCTTTCCCTTAGCAACAGGCAATTCCAGTTCTTATGCTTTTGTTTGTCAATTCATAATCCATTCTTCAATGTTACTAAATAATATTGCATTCCATACATATACCTCGTTTTGTTTATCTGTTGAACTTTTGTAAAAATATCGTATGTGCTTCTAATTTGGAGCAAATCTGAATAAAGCTATAAAGTAATAATGGACTTGATGACAATGAAAAAATGAATAAAGTTTGAATAAATATCTGTTGGAAGTTTTTTATGCCGTTACTTGTTCTTCAATCGATTGATTAAATACCTGGATCTATGATTGCTTTCTAGATTGTAGGATACAGTATATTTAGCTTTATACTATCAAGCGTTTTACAAAAGTAATGAATAAATAATTCATTTCCTCCAAAAATGAATGACAGCTTCAGGTGCTGTGTATCCTTAACATCTTGGTGTTGTCAGTGATTTTACTCATTATATTAGTTATATAGATTATCTCAATGTTGTCTTCATTTCCAATATCCTAATAACATTAGCTATTGAAAATCTTTTTATGCACTTTTATGCCCTCTGTATATCTTCCTAAGTGTCTGTTCAGATATATTGCTCATTTTTAAACTGATTAACTTTGCTGTATTGTGGATTTTTTAAGTATTTGTATATCTTAAGTGCAAGTACATGTACCATAACTTGTATTTTGCAATTAATTTCTCCCAGTATGGATGACAACTCATTATGTAAAAAGACCAAAGCCCTCACAGCTGGAACAACAAGAACATGATAATGATAAATGCAGAAAATGTTGAAGTTGTCAAAAAAAATTTTTACATGGATCCATAATCAATGAACATGGAAGCAGCAATCAAATCTAAAGGTGTTTTCCATGGCCTAAAGCTGCTGCCCCAGAGATCTGTGGAGTGTGGAAAACAAGGAGGATCTTTTGAGCACTCAGGTGCATCCAACCCAAGCCATGGTATTTTCCAGGGATGCAGTTGCATGTGAAAGGAGGACAGTGAATAAAGAAGACTCCAAAAGAATCCATGTATCTGAATCGTGGTGCTGGAGAATATTGAAAGTACACGAATTGCTGAAGGGATAGGCATCTTTATTGGAACAAGTAATGCCAGAGTGCTCATTACAGACAACAACTGTGTCATCAAATCAGCAACGGGATCCTTGATTTTTCCTTTCCTGACCATGTACCTACAAGCCACGAAAATTCACTCTATGAATAAATGAACTATTAGAAGAACTGAGATTTTCGTGCATGTTTAAATCATTATCGCAATCTTCATTATTTTTAAAGGTCAAATATATTAACGTTGGATAATACATAAAAGTTGGATTCATACTTAGATTCCTGTTCCCTGTCTATGAAAAGCCAATTATCGTCTTGAAATTCCTCCCTGGGAACTGGCTATTTTTGAATGCCAAGGGATACACTCCCAGGGGACTCTCTAGTGCCATCCGCATCCTCACAGTCTTGGCTGTATCTGAAAAACAAACGTACTTGTTATAAAACAGAGCGATTCCCGTCAGAGTCCCATTCATTTCGAGAATTATGCTTAGTCATTTTTGTCTTCACTTAAAAGACTGCTGCATTACCCGGAATCCTGGATTACCTGTCCAACACATAAAATAACATCTTGTGAGTCTTTGTTGTGATTGGTTAATTTTTTTTTCAGCTCCCTCATTGTTACTACTTGAGTAGCGGATTTCATTTACTCTTTGTACAGTTGACTGTTTTATGCAGAAACGCTGTGACTGAGATTAAAATAGAAAACATAGGGGATATACTGACATGCATGAACTAATTTTTTATTAAATCTATCTAAAAACAACTCCAGTCATTATAGTAGAATTCAAATTTGTTTATAGAAACTCAGAGGAGTGGAAAACAGCCTTTTACCTTGCTGATGCTAGAAATGAAGGCAGGGGTAGAAATAGTCGGTGTACAGCCTACATCTCCAGTGCTTAGCTGGATAGTTCAAATTTATATTACATATTTAATCAAATATATTTTCTTTTACCAAAATTACTTTCTATTGCTGATATTTACTAATGATATTTTAAAATATCTTTATTTGCTAAGCATTCGATGTTATATTCTCTTTGCACAAAGAGACTCAGTGATCACCTGACATATATGTCAAGTTTATACACACAGTTCCTTTTACTTAAACTGTCATTCTAGTACTTTCTGATAGCACAGTATTGGATATAAAGGCATTTGGTCATAATTATATTTACAGAGATGCCATTGAGACTGCTTCCAGCCCATTATCTGCATATAATTAATCTCACAATATTTTGGAAATTTGAGGAAAGTATAAATAGATTATAATTTATTATATGTGGGTAACTGGAAAATCTATCAATGAACAAAATATAGCTTACAATTTGGAGGCCTGAAAGAGTATTTTCTCAGTTGTTCTGTAAAAGTCAAAGAACAATTTGAATCTATATTTGGAGGGATGAGA